TTGGTTAAGGAAAATATGAGGCGACCCCATAAAATAGAACATTCAAGGATACGTCGAGTCTCTTGGATTTCACTTCACACATCTATACCCGGACTGAGCATAGCCAAGAAAGACACAAGTGATTGCCTTGGGGATAATTTCTCTTTCACCTGTGCAATAATATGAACAAAACTCGTGCATCTAAACACTTGGAAAAGCTTAGTACTGCCCCAGTAATAAGTTTGTGAGGTGCCACAACCGCTTCTTCCCTCTCTCTTTCCCCCCAAAAAGAGGAGAGAGATGTCCCGTCCCTTCTTTACACACATCCACATACATAGCCAGACAAAAGGTATACAATCTGATCAAAATCTGCGGGTGGTACGTTGTTTTGAGAAAGTCATGAGCTTTGATTTTTTATCTTTGAGGTAACATTGTTGTTGGGTCATTTGCATGCCTTGTAAAGACATTGGAATGATAGCTCTCTATGTTCGTTGTTGAAAAGCATTTAGACAAGTCTATAAGATGTTCCCAGAGATAGATTTATTCAGCACAACCTTTATCAAGCTAACTGTGTTTGGATTTAGGTTGACCATGATCAACACATGGTTCAATCACATCAGGTTTCTTGAGTCCTTGCTAGATTACCCTGTACAGAGATGCAGTGATATCCCCATTTTATCTCTAGACTAGAATGAAACTGCTAAGACTATTTCATAAAGAACATGAACCATTGACACATGATTTCACTTTCTGTATTTTTTTTCCATATCCTATTTGGAATGCTCCAATTTTTTTCATGGAAACATCACTAACATCTCATTTCTTCTCAGATTGTATGTGTCGTGGGCCTGTATATTTGGTGTGTGGCTGCTGATCCCGCAGACCCAGGAGTCTTTAAATCGAAAAAGTATCTCAATATTACAGACAGCAAAAAGGATATCCGGCTCAAGGAATCTAAACTGGGTGAGGGTTCAACTTTGTCAATACATGATGCGAATAATGAAGCAATTGGAGAGAAACATATTGATAAGGGCATGAAGGACATGGATGCAGAACCAGAAGATCAGACTACTGAAATAGGAAAGAATAATGCATCATCTCACCAAAAAGCTTGTTTTATGCCCTTTTTCGCTTTCCTCCCTTGTGCTTTTATGTGCAACTGCTGGAGTCCGCTTGAGGAATCTTCTGAGCAACAAATGAGCGAGGATGGCATGTTCTACTGTAGTTTGTGTGAAGTAGAGGTGTGTATATACATATAACATATTCAAACAGATGGGGGATGGGGACACTAAGATATTCAAGTTTCTATTATTCCCTTTCAAAGTTGATGCCATTCACGAGAAAGCCCTAATGGGACCCCTAAGATATTACTTTTTTTGGTTTTTCCTTTATTGTGAATTAATTGTTCATACTCTCCTAATTGGCCGAAAGGATCCCAAACCCCCCCCCCCCCTCTTTCCCCCAACAGCTTGCCACCACACACAACTTCATTCCCACTGTTGAATTTTTGCTCCATCCATGAAGCCAGATAGGAGTCACAAAATGCTTCTTGTAGAAAATAAAGTTGGCATTATAATTTCCAACCCAAGGCATTCAAAAGCAGCCTGTGCCATTCAATGGGTTCCATTAGAGATATTCCTCCAAAAAAAAAATAAGATTGCATGGATTATAAGGCTCTAATCAGATTGTGGATTGTATTTCTCTAAATGATTGCTATCTTGCAGGTGTTCAAGTACAGCAAGCATTGTAGAATTTGTAACAAGTGCGTTGACCGTTTTGATCATCACTGCAGGGTATTTAAGGATCAAGCTTTGGTGGGAATTTCCCCTCTATTTTGACAAGACCTCTCATGCCTTTTCTCATTTTGCCTTTTACAGTGGCTCAACAATTGTATAGGCAAAAGGAACTATCGGAAGTTTTTCACCCTCATGGGCTCTGCCTTTCTCCTGGTAAGAACAGGCCTCCATCATGTGCCTTTGACGCTTCATAGCGGACGAGCAAGCTTCTACTATATTCTTGTTAATTGTCTGCCTTTCCGTCAGTTTGGTTAAATCTATGGTTACTTGAGTCTCAAATTCATGGTACCCAACTCAATTAATTCTTGGGTGAACGGATTTAATCCTACCAATTAGGTGAGATTCCAACTTTTAGAAACTCTTGAGAGGTGTGCAAAATTCCATCCATGATATAAATACCACCATTGTGCATAAGTTCCAAATCAAGGATGATGACTTATATTACATCTCACAAAGCAGTTAATGATATCTTGTCATATCTCATAATTCTTGTAGTTTCGCCTCTTAGGCTGCTGCACTTTTCCATCACCATGGCCTTCCATGGCCTCTTCTCTTAGGCTGCTGCACTTTGCCATCACCATGGCCTCTTCATTAATCCTGATAAGCTTGAAACTCTTCAGCTGCCAAAAATTCTTTAATCTTTAATTTGCTTTCAAATAAAGAATTGCCAGGACGTGAAGATCTCCTCAAGAATGAGCATTTTTATTTTCAAGTCTTTCTTCATTTAGTTGATTATTGACAGGTCTATACATGGTTTGTGCACCTTGGACTTGAGATTGCAGCTTATACTTCAGTGGTCAGCTGGAATACTAGTATTGATATGCTGTTTTCGTGAGCGCAAGAGTTTCTCTGTTGACATCGCCTCCAAGTTAGGAAGCAGTTTCTCTGTGGTGCCCTTTGTTATTGTGGTGGTGAGTGGTTATTTATTTTCTTCTATTTTTTTTTTTCAAGAGGGAATGTTGTTATTGTGTCTGCCTTGTACTTTATTTTGATGGGATTTTTCCCATGCCAGTCGACCTTTTACTACTTCTCAACCATTTGTTCACTCAACTATAGTAGATGATTAATCAAGTAAAGTAACTCATCACACAATTCTTTCTATCGTGCTTCTCTCCTCTTGTAGCTAACGTAATAGTTTTATATGTGGCAGGCAGTATGCACCATATTGGCCATGATTGCAACCCTACCGCTTGCACAACTTTTGTTCTTTCATGTTCTTCTCATAAAAAAGGTAGGCTTGGATATCATTCATTGCTCATAACTATGTGCATTACCTTTTTAGTTTTAATGCTACCTGTAATTTTCACTTATTTAGGAAATTTTCTTTTTGAAATCATCATTACTTACTTTCTTTCCTTCCCTTATTTTTTATTTTTTTTTCGGGTTGGAGGTGGGGTTTGGGAAGCTCCAATAAGTCCTGGGTAATGGTGGTAGCCTGATCCCAAATGTATTCGACAATAGTTGGGGAATGTATTAAACAATAACTAGGGTAAAAGCATGAGGTTGGCCCACAAGAAGACTGCTCGCAGTTATGCCCTCCAATGTTTAAAGTTGAATTGATAAACTATTGAGCTGATAATATCTGTGCTTGGATGACAGGGAATTAGCACATATGATTACATTATTGCTCTGAGGGAGCAAGAGCAACAAGGAGTTGGAGGTCAGCAAAGTCCCCAGATGTCATCTGCAAGCTCCCTTACTGGCTTAAGCAGCACAAGCTCTTTCAATACTTTTCATGGAGGAGCGTGGTGTACACCTCCACGCCTGTTTCTAGAAGATCAGGTATGGTATATACCGTGCATTTTGCCGAAGAGAAATGTTGATTCACTGTTGAATCAAATAGAAGAAAAATAGTGCTTATTCCATGACAGTTACTTGCTTAATGCCGAGGCACTCTTTTTTCAGCACCATTCATTGCTGACTGCAGTGAAAATAATTGTTTGGTTGGTTTCCAAAAATATAAGCAGTTTGATTCTGGTTTAAGAGGTCTGTAGGAGGTCTATATTGGTTTATTTGATTCTTGCTTACTAGTCCAGTCTAGAGTTGTCAGGAGCCACCACATGTAATCATTTCACGAAGTAATACATCTTGCCAACAAAGCAGAGCATTGAGTTTCCTCTGGAAACACCTCAATTTTCTGGTGCATTGATGACAATGTATATCACACATAAACTGTATGCAGCATGTTGGTTGGAGACAACTAGTCGAAGTGGTTGTTGAAACACAAATTCTCGATGAACTTGAACAATCCAACTCTAGGTCCAACTTTTGAAACAATAAACTTCTGGTCTTGTTTGTTAATGGTGCTTCAATATCTTGTTTCGTTGCAGTTTGATGTAGTCCCTCCAGAGACTGGATCTGTAAGTTCACTTGGAAAAAAGACAGTAGCAGAGGATAATATCAAGAAAAAGAACCCCCCCGCATCTGTAAAAATCAGTCCATGGACATTAGCACGCATGAATACAGAAGATGTTTCAAAAGTTGCTGCAGAGGCGAGGAAAAGATCCAAAATACTGCAACCTGTTGTGAAACGAGAAGCCCCTTATGGCCTCGAAATGGATGGTGACTTTAGCAGCAGTGGACACCGAATGATCCCAAGGCCTGATAATAATAGAAGGCGATCTAGTAAGAGGTTTCGCCTCCCTGCAGAGCTACCCCTTGGATCCCTGACCAAAGTTTCAAATGAAGATACTGAAAATAGCGGAAATGATATGATTACTGAGACATCAAGGAGTTTACCACCTCTTCAGCTTGAAGCACGGAGTGCTTTCCAAACAAGCCGAGCTACATTCAGATCAGGTGGTATTGTCTCTTCTTCTCCAGAGAGCAGTTTAGACTCCCCTGATCTTGACCCATTCCGGGTCTCCTTGTCAGGAGCTGAAGAGGGAAGGAGACTCACTGGGCTATCGGCAGCTGGCATGGCTGCTCAGAAGGGTATCCAATTGTCAAGGTCAACTAGCGATGGATATGAAGCGTCTGGTGGGGAAGATAGTGACAAAGTTCCTTCCCGGAGTGTTCAAAGGTCGACAAACTGGAGTAACATCTTCAGCACTGACCAGGATGAAAAGGTCTCTCGACTGAAGGTGTCATCTTCATCTAGCCAAGCTAAAAGTAGAAAGCTTTGAACAAGTGAAATTTGCTGATAAATGGGAGGGGGCGGTGAACCACTGTTATGCCACTCTACAAAGGGAGGGCTTTACCATTGACATGCCACTCCACAGATTTTACTGGTTTTTTTCGTTGAATGACAATGTTGATAAGCTTGTTTCAGGAGTCAATCTACAATTAATGTCTGCACTTTCAAACTATAAGTCAAACCAAACGCATCATATACAGGGGTACAATTTGGACAGGATAACCTGAACTCAACTCAGAAAGTTTAGGTTATGTTTAATTTGTATCTCAGAAACTATTTTTTATTTTTGGAAACAGTTTTAAAAAAACAAGTTGTTATTTTTTGAAAATTGAGAATAAAAATTGGGTAGATTTAGAGAATAAAATATAGCTATTTTGTGTATTTTTAGAAATAATCTTTCCAGAATTTAAAAAACACCTCCACCACCACATTTTCATCATTTTCACACTTTCACCATTATTGCATTTTTGTTTTCACTATTTTTTGGATTACTATTTAAACAAGTTTTTACTTTTAAAAAAAAAAAAAGCTGTTGTTTTTTGTTTTTGTTTTTTGAAAATTGAGAATAAAAATTGGATAGATTTAAAGAACAATGTAGAACTGCTGTTTTGTGTGTTTTTTAGAAACAATCTGTCTAGAATTCAAAAACACCTCCACCATCACATTTTTCACCACCATATTTCCACCACTACCACATTTTTGATTTCACTGTTTTCTAAGTTACTATTCAAATAAGTTTTACTGTTTTTTATTCCGTAAAATTGTTTTTGAAATCATATAATCAAACAAATTATGCAACATAAAAAACACCAAAAACGATTTTCTAAAACTTTTCAATAAAAAATTTCAGATATTATTTTTTGAGATATAAAACAAACATGACCTCAATTCTAGGGTTGCGGTTTTCAATACTTGTTTGGGCTTGGGCAAAAAAATTAATACTTGAATTAAAATTGGACAATAATCATATTGAAATGTCCGGTTCAACCCAAACCTCGAAGAAATTGGGCTCAACCCAACTGTAGAATTCGACTTCAACCCAAAATTAAAGAAAAACGTTTACTAAGATAAGGTTAATTTCATTCTTATGGTCTTATCCTAACCCAACTCTCTCGTTCATTTCACAAAGTGCTGTCCATCATCTTCAGACAATTCATCTCTCTCATGGATAACACATATCATTTGTTCCTCATCTTCACACGGTCAAAACTTTCATCTCTCAATGTTAATATCTCTTATTGCCCCGTCTCTCTCATCGAACTGTCGAAGACTTTGGCTGTTTGTATAAACATCCATGTTCTTTGGGATGTATTGAGTGGTGGTTGTTGGTTTTCTAATTATGCTCGTATTGTTAAGCTTCGACTGTTTGGAGAAAGAATGTTACATGTATTGAATGTTTATGGTTGTTTTTTTTTTTTTTTCTTGATGGTTTTTGTTATAACATGTTTTAGTCATTTGGTTGTTGACTTTTGTTGCGGAATGTCTTATTAGGGCAACCCAAATTAATTCAAAATTAAGTCTAAATTGTCTAACACAGTTTCAACTTGAGTTTAAAAAACAAAGGTTAATGGGTGGCCGGTCCACATTTGTGGATTTAGGGCAATTAGTCTCTGCGCGTATTTTTTGAGGTTTAAAAGACAATTAAAGGTATAAAAAAATTCAAAGAAAGTCTAATGACAGTGCTTAGAACAACGGGTTTTATTACGACCAAAGTCCATCCCACACTTGTTATATTTGATCATATAGTTACAAAAGTATAACTAATTGAAAGGACCTATGAATTAGTTCCAAGAAAGTAACCGTTTACGTCAGGAATAGAGGTTATTGATATACTTGTTTATAGTTTTTTTTTTTTCATCGAGATTATGTTTATGTTAATGTTCAGTTTACCTTAGTACAGGATAAAATTTATCCTTAATAACATAAATAAGTATATTATAAAATAAACAATAACAATAACAGTGACACTAAAACGACATCAATAACAAAAAACAACGATATTGAAACCGTAATAGTTTCAAATATAATGAATTTTTATTATCTAAAATTCATAAAATTAGACAATGACGTAAATTTTTATTGTCATTATTGATCGTCGTCGTTGTCGTAAAAATTGGAAGGATCAGGATTTGAATTTTGTATTAAACAAACAAAAGAGGGCCGTTTCAAAAACGAAGAGTTTGTACTTAGATCACTAGATAGCGTGAGTTGGGAACCAAAAAAAAAAGCGTTGAAAATCAGAAAAACCCTCCCCAAGACAGAGTTGACGAAGAATCTCAGTAACTATCTACAGTACATGAGCAAAAGAATTTCATTGGACCTTCAATCTGATCACAGCTTCAAGAAGATCGAGTGAGAAGAAAATAAATATTCCATAAGTCAATTTTAGCCTGAGATAGTCTTGTACCGGAAAGAATCGATCGAGTCCGCCGGAGAAATGATCGGAATCCCAAAAATATTTGTGGGAGATATATAGTGGTAAACCATATTTAATTCAGAAGGATAGTCTTCTCTTTAAAAAAAACTTTCACGATTAGTTTAGAAGGATTTAGGAAAAATTTCAGTCATATTTTTTTTAGTTTATTATATTTTCAAGAATATCCCTTCTATGTTTTGATTTTTCATTAACACCTCTATCAAATTAAAGTGTTAATTAAAATAAAATTTTAGTAAATTGTCTATGATATATTTAAAAAAAAACTTAATCCATACCTCCCTCTAGATAAACATATCTTCAATAAAAAAAGTGTGTATTGAATGTAAATCTTCAAGGTAAATTATTGAATTTAATTGGCATTTTTTGTGGTATATACTGCCTTTAAGAACGGTTAATAAATAATTTTTAAATATTTTTAAATTGGTTTTAAATTGATCTTGAAACATTTACAATCAACCTAAACAATATCAAAATTGAAATTTAACTCCAAAAATTAATAATTAACGATACTGCCAACGAAATAATAATAATAACAATAATAATAATAATAATAATGTACTTATCCACAAGTTTTTTCCTTCAACTTGTCAACAGTAATTTTGTTTGTATACATAAAAAGAGTAGATTACATGAACATAGAGTAGCCCGCAGAACTGCAAAGCACATGCAGTGATCAAGGCAAGCGGACTAAACCTTCCCATCATCAGTATAATAAATCCAGTGATCAGGGCAAAGCAAATGCAGTGAACTTGAACAACCAGAGGGACCTTCTCATCATCATCAAAACCCAAGCCAACTTACTCTCCAGTAAACTCCTTAGCCATTTCAATGGCCGATTCACCATTCAAAGCCTTGCAATATAAATACATCACTGTATTCTCCGCCACAGTCAAAAGCATAAACAGAACCACAAAACTCGACTGAAGCAACAACGTCAACATGAAGTCCCAACTCCACAACCCACTATTCCTATATGTGATCATCGCCGGCAAATAATTCCCCAAAATCATGAACAAAATAGAAACTCCGCTCAACACAATCTGCAACGAAGTCCCTCTCATCCCCATCACCAACTGGGTACTTCGCCGTAACGGCTCAATCCCCCATTTTGATTCCACCACCGCAATTACACTGGTCAACACCCAGTTCAATTGCAACCAAATTAAGGTCGAGCCAAGAAGTATCACAACGAATATGCAAAACCCGATAAAACAATTCGACTTATAATCGATTTCAACCCCCAAAACCTGAAGCCCTTGATACAGTAACACAACGAAAAGGCCGCAAATGGTACATATCAGGGCTATAATTGCTTGTGAGGTCATTATTGTGGACGCAAGGGGTAGGAATGAGGAGGAGATTGATCTGATGGCGTGAATGAATCTGACGGGTCTGCCGTAGAATCCATGGAAGGTGCTGTAAGTGATCGTGGCTATGGCACAGACTGAGAAGAAGATGACAAATAAGGCGAACAGGAGAGGAAAAACCAGGGTTTCAGGGAGGAGATGGTTGAGGGTGGAAGTGGAAAAGCGGAAGAACTGGTCGTTGACGTCGTCGTTTTGGGAGAAGGTGAACTGAAGGATGCCGTAGATGACGGGAGAGGAAGAGAGGGGTAAGAGGAAGAGGAGAGAGAGAGCTAAGAAGTGGGGAGAGTGGGCACTGGTTATGCGTTTTGACTCGGAGAGTACTCCGCCACGGTTTGGGGTTTGTGAAAAGGTCGACATGGAAAAGAGAGATAGAGAGAGAGCAGTAGGTTTGGAACGAGCATGGGGGAAGAGAGAGAGAGAGACATAAATATATATATGGAGATTGATACTTTCTCAGGCGTGTTAATGGTGGTAAGCAGAGCATTTTTCTTCTTCTTTTTCTTTTTTTCAGTAAATTGCACAAATAGCACTAAAACTATTACGTTAATTAAATTCTTGAACCAATTTTTATATTAATTAAGTCACTAAACTCTAAAATTTTACCTATTAAGTCCTTCTGTCAACATTTTTTAACGATATATTTCACGTGCTCATCTTATGAACAACATCTTATGGACAACATATTAGAAGTATTTTGAATTATTCGTTTAAAATCTATCGGACGAAAAATCACATTTTTTACACTCATTAACCAAAAACCTAACTCCAAACTAAAACCTCTTTCATGTCCATTAAGCGAAACATATCAGCAAGTTATTCGATCTCGTATAAGAAACAATATACATAAATGTAAGCTCTTTGAAAAACTTATTAATCTACTTCGTTTAATGGGTATAAGGAATGGGTTTTCGTCTTATAGGTTTTGAACAAATAGTCAAAAATATCTCTAATTTGCTTGTCTATGTAGTGAGCGCATGAGATATTTCGTTCAAAAATTAACGAATGTTTTCGGATTTGCTATTGATGTGATGATCATAGTTTAAAGGCCATTTCAACTAATCTGTTTTCGGATTTAGTCAAAGGAAGATTATCTACTTCAAAATTAAGATATTCATGACCTAACTCAAGAAATTGCTAATATTCAAACTCGAAACGCCTGAGATTAGAAGCCGTCTGTGTTATCAT